TGGCCATTCCACCGTGGGACCTGGGTCAGGTGTTGCAGTAGGAACCTTTTGAGCCTCTGGAGTCACTCAGCATTAAGTGGCTGTCTCTGAAAGTGTTTTTTCTCTTGGCAGTGACATCAGCCAAAAGAGTGGGGGAACTGCATGCTCTGTCAGTGGATAAGAGCTGTTTTGGTTTCCTGCCGGATGACGCTGGTGTCATGTTGCGTCCGAACCCTGCATTCCTGCCAAAAGTACCCACAGACTTTCATTTGAATCAGTTTGTGGAGTTGTGATCCTACAACTCCTCCAAGTAGGGTAGTGAGGGTTAAAAAGACACAAATTGCTGAAGCGCTGGCCTGCCAGTACTGGTGGGTGTGAGGGCACACTCAACACGAGATGTAGCTATCTCGTGGGCCTTGTGGCAGGGTGCAACCCTCTGGGAGGTCTGTGCAGCTGCTACATGGTCAATGCCATCCACATTTGCCAGATTTTACTGCCTGAATGTGGCCGCTGGCACCTCCTTTCGGGAACATGTGCTGAGTGCCACCACACAGTTGGCCATGTAATTCCATGCCCTTGAGCTCAACACAAGGTGTAGCTACCTCATGGGCCTTGTGTCAGGGTGCCATCCTCTGGGAGGTCTGTGCAGCTGCTGCATGGTCAATGCTATCCACATTTGCCAGATTTTACTGCCTGAGTGTGGCCGCTGGCACCTCCTTTCGGGAGTGTGTGCTGAGTGCCACCACACAGTCGGCCATGTAATTCCATGCCCCTGAGCTGGGGCCTTACCCAGCCGGGGTAATGTCGTATATTATTGTCAGTGGCCTGGCAGCAGGCTGGCCAACTGAGTGGTCTTCCTGCACCCAACCCCTGTGTCTGGCGGGGCGGGTCGTGCTTATGGTTGGGCTGGGCATCAGAACATGCGGCACACAGCATTTGGTGATGTCACAGACCGCTGAATGCGCAAGATGTTGTACATTTGTTAATAGTTACACATGTATATATATATATATACAGTACAGGCCAAAAGTTTGGACACACCTTCTCATTCAATGCATTTTCTTTATTTTCATGACTATTTACATTGTAGATTCTCACTGAAGGCATCAAAACTATGAATGAACACATGTGGAGTTATGTACTTAACAAAAAAAGGTGAAATAACTGAAAACATGTTTTATATTCTAGTTTCTTCAAAATAGCCACCCTTTGCTCTGATTACTGCTTTGCACACTCTTGGCATTCTCTCCATGAGCTTCAAGAGGTAGTCACCTGAAATGGTTT